GGGGTATTTTCTAAGATTTGCCTGCGACTTTTATTGTTTTTTTTCTGCTTTTATAGGAACTTTTTTTTTTTTTTCAAATAAAAAACGTTTTATGGCAGTCAAACTCCATGTATCGTTTTAAATTGAATGAACCTTATATCCGAACGGAATACACCGATACACTAAGCACACCTATTTCCCGGAGTAATGCAGGTTCGGCAATCGTTGGATCGGTACTATTGATAAAGCCGTTTGAATCTGGATCGCGTTGCCTAAATAATATCGTCCAATACGTCAGAGCATTTGACTGTGTCGTCGATTTTACTATGAAATAATGTCGTTACGTACCGTACGGACGTCGCAAATGTATTCTTGTTTCGTAGCGCTGGCCCAGGGTCGTCGTCGCAATATTTTTATCTAGTGGGTATACCGTGCGAGACGGCCAGTATAAGCAAGAGTGAAACTAAAAAAAAAAAAAAAAACCAAACGCTGTACTCGTAATTATTATAATTATTGCGTTGTGTGTCTCTAGATCAACAGCGACCGCGGGCTATAGTTGATCGGATCGCCTAAATAGAAATTCGTATTATTGCGTACGGGACGATAGAGTAAATTATGATAAAAAAAAAAAAAAAAATTATGCGTCTTAAACCGTAGTTTCCTCCCTCCCACCATCCTGACAACGGGTGAATTTAATCGGTGGCGTACACAGAGAGGGGGTTTAGAGGGTCATACATTCCCCCCCCCCAAGGAAATATCCTCCTTCGTTACATTTTTTTCAAATCGAGTTTTACGTTCAATAACATATTGATGTATTCTTATGCAACGGAATAAAAATTTCGTTTCATCAAATATCTTTTATTCGGTAATAACTGTGAAAACGCTGTGCTGAATGAACCGTGTGCTATCACGTCCCTACGGGAAATCGTTACAAACGAAACCCCTCCTGAAAAGAAAATCCCGCGTGCGCTACCGAATAGGTATAACGTAGAATAATTATATTATTATGACCGTAGCTTTACTATGGTGTCCGTGCGATTATCCATATGCGCGGCCGGATTATCGCGCGGAAAGACCGATATAACGGGGGGGGGGAGTTGTTCGCAATAATATCCGTCCCGCGCCCTACCGGCGCCGGGTGACGGACGGGCACTGGTCGTGAGTACGTCGTCCGACAGATGTCGCCCGGCGACGGCGGGACGCGCCGCGCCGTCGAGTACACCGACTAGACCGGGCAGTACGTTTTTATGGTTTGTTTGGGTGGGCGCAATGACTGCCGCGCCGCCGCGACACCATAACCATAGAATTTTATGTGCTGCTCGTTTTCCCCCTCGACTAATAACAACAACAACAATAATAATAATAATGATAATAAAATAGGTACCGCTTTATTTTCGACGTTGGCCAAGGTCGCGGTTACGCCGCGCCGTGAACATACACGTGACTAATACGAATATTACACAAATGGATTTCAATCCGTTCAATCCGCGATTTAAATGATGGAGAAAAGAGATCATTTTTTTCACGGCCCATCAGACAACTAAGTACACGTAGGTATACGCATAGATAGATGCGTATAGGTTTAAAAGACGAACGGACATATTCGCACGGTGGGTGGGCCACTGTTGTAGGTGAGAAGTCGGGAAGGCAGAGGGGAGATTCAATGGACATCTGTGCGCAAAGATTAATCATCGCCGACGAAAAGCGATTCTGAGTGGAGTTCAAGCTCTACAAACAAACACACAAACAAAATTAAAGAAAGTACATCATATGGCAGTGGCGCATCTGAAGCTCAATATCAAGGACCGGGAGGTTTGAAAATTTTAATACACCACAATAAATCGTGAGGGATATTCTCGACCCCCGCACCCCCCAAAAAAAAGACGTGGACATTTCGCGTTTAGGCCCGGGTATTTCTGAAATTTGCACGATTTCGGCGTTTACCCGTAACGGCCGTAACATTGTGTGCATAATTAGCTGTCCCGCGCCCGGCATTGCCCGTGCCAATTTGTATTATTGTTATTTTACCCATATTCATTTTTTGGTTTTGGCCGTGTCAGAATTGAATGAAAACAAATGGGTGAAAAGTAGGCGGTCCACCTTTGGCGGACTAAATGCGTTCTATTGTGAAATTATAATAGTGTAAACAAATAGTAATAGTAGTAATTATAGTAGTTTTCTTTTCCGTAACACCAAGGTCACCCCCGAATAAACAAAAATATACAAATAAGCAATTAGATATTCGTATAAGATGTACCTGAAGGCCCCTATTATATCCCTAAGGGGTTGAATTTTGAAAAACCTTTCTCAGCGGATGTCTGCGTCACAACGGCTATCTGTGTGCCAAATTTTAGCCCGATCCGTCCAGCGGTTTGGGCTAAGGCGATGATAGATCGGTCAGTCAATCAGTCAGGACATGTTATTAAAAATGATATTTTATGTATACGTATATACATAGAGAGAGAGAGAGCTGACCCACGTCCACATTTTGTTGAGCGGTAAACGTTTTTACTTGTGATGAAATTATGAGTGTGGTTCGGTCAGCACTGAGTGCTGTGGTTTGTTTCCCGACTGTTAAAAGGAGGGTTGTATTTTTACTGCGTGTGCACGTATGTATTCGCATGCCAATTCGGCTATATTACCGGGTTTCAAATTAGCGAATGAAATGATTATGGTCGAATAAATTGTGTTTACTAATCGTGGGTCGGCACGAATAACGTGCTGTGATTAAATCTGTAAAATCGTAAAATTCCCAGAACGTTCTTGCAACTTATTTCTAAACGGATTGACGTGTCGTAAAACCGTCCAATAGAAACATTATAACTTAATAGATTACGACACGGTCGCGGTTCCATACCTGTGTCGCATTGTCTCTTTTAGCATTCGTCCACATTATATGCAGTTAAAGGGAAAAGTCTTTTGTCTTAAACACTCGAGACTAGAAGTTACGTTATTTTGATAAGAATTCATGATTTCGTAATTTAAACAATTTCAATACGACCAATAAACATTTAACCAACAAGATTTAAATTATTTTTTTAATATAAAAAACTTCTTTATGTGACTTAAATATAAATGTTAGACATATGCTGTCGCTGACTTCTTTGTAGGTATTATCTAACTCTACAGCTTTTCTCTAGAACTCAATCATATATCTTTCATTGTTAAGACAGCGTTCGCAAGACACGTTTTCGTTCGACCGGTTTTTCTCCGACTTACTGTGCATATCCGACTACCACGAAAATGTTTTCATTTTTCGGGTTAATATATAGCCTACAAAACTCACAAATAATTTGGATTTCTATTGGTAAAAGGATATTCAAAATCGATCCTGTATTACCTCCTATAACCTCACAAACTCACACGCTTTATTTTTTTATAGTAATATAGTATAGATTACTATTCAATATTTACGCAAATGCGATATGAACGAGTACATACGCAAAATGAATGAATGGTAAACGTTGTCCTGCATGATATTTCAAGCGATTAGGATAAATTAATTCAAGTCGATCCAGCCGTTTAGACGGAGTTCAGTGACATACACACGTACAGTAGAATTATATATAAATAAAGATATATAGATGCATACATCATACGTTCTTATCGAATATACGCAACAATATTTACAACGGTTTTAAAGCGATATTAATATTTTTTTTCTCCTATGAACCAATCTATGGTAGTATGATGACAACTGTTTGGACATCCACGTCGATACACTTATATGTATTATGAAAAAAAAAAAATTGCCCCAGTCATATCATTATCGCTACATTTTGGTGACGCTGATTGAAATATCCGAGAAATAATAAATGGCACGGTTACGAATACTGTATTATTTTATTGCCTATAGCCTATAGCCGTAATTGAAAAATCACAGCCGAAAAATTCCAAGGAAGGAGCGAACCATCCGTCGGCCCCCTTATATATGCGCCCACTGTCACGATTTGAAAGCCAGGGAAGAAGCTAGAGATTAGCTAAAAGATATAGATCCACGCTAATGAACCAACATTAGACCCTATATTAATCGTTCAATCACATGTTTGACTTTGTTTTAACCCCAATTATTGACTATCTATGTTACCACAATACGATTTCTGTTATTATTCAATGTTCTTATTGATATTGTTACTAAGCAATTTTCACTATTTTATTATATTTCTATATATGTTGTATTCGATTGCCATATGAAATAGATACGGAAAAATTCGCCACTGTCATATAGTAAAATTATTAAATTCCTCGGTAGACTCGGAATCTAAAAAGCACAAATAACCATAGAAATAAAAACAACTTTTGTTTTTAAAATATAATATATTACACATTCTTAGTTTCACAGTTTTATACAATCAAAGCAAAATGTATATAACAAAATATAATATATAAACTTATTAACTTATTAATTCAGTTATTATTATGCGACTGCGGCGAAAGGACGTAAACCGTTACAATAACTGTATTTCGGTCATCCGGGAACCTCGTTTCAAACATGCTGTCATCACCTAAGAACGGGCATATTTTCAACAACCTTGTCCATAATATAATGAGCCAAAAATGAATTAAAGAGAAGGTAAGCAGAAGCACGAACGTGACTCCCAAAGCGAAGAGCCGGGGACGACTCAAGAATAAGTTCATAGTCTTTAGCTTTTGAAGATACGTGCTGATGGCACGCCAGTGGCGGTGGGTTACATTGAACCCACCGCCATAAGCCTCCCACCCACCCGGTGCCAAAATAAATGCGGACGGTGTCGGTGGCACCTCCGACGCTTTCGTGGATCGAAGTGATACCGTCCGCATGATGTTAAAAGCCGTCAAAAGCCGACTACACTATTTAATATGCAATATAAAATTTAAAAAAATTAAAAAGTGATTAATAAAAAATATACAAAAAAAAACAATACTCAAAAACAGATAACCTAATCTAACGTTAAACGCACAAAAAAAACCAAAAATAAAACTACAATCTAACCGACAACTAGAAGTCGAAGACGGTCAGCGGCCGGCGGATGATTGACGTTTTACCACCTTTGCGCGAGACCTTCGAAATGGTTAACTAGGTCCCGAACCGGACTGGATCTGATCATTACAAATCTCCAATTGTTTGGCCCCGCGACCACGTCGGCGTCGTTTNCGGTAGCAGTGCTGGTTATCTCGTTATCGTACATAAATTCTGTGTCCTCTTGTCCCGATGACGTGGCGTTTTGTGACGCGGTGTTTATTCCACTGTCCAATTCCAGGTCGTCCGAAACCTCTTCTTTTTCTTCTTGTCCGACGTATTCCACCGGTGTTTCTGCAACTTTGCGGCCACTGGAAAGACCCTGCAGAACGTGGCGAACAGCATTCACCACCACCGGCTTCAAGAAAAATGCTATTGAGAGCATAGCAAGCGAATGCAGATTCAAAGCAGTAAAGAAATATGCGATTATATTTCAAGAGATTATTAACAATGTAGCTAATAAATTCAGTCAATATAACAATGAACCGTTTTCAATCGTACACTGTCCGGGTTTGCCGTGGAAACGGCGGCCTTTGGATACGGTGTTTATTTATAATCGGCCAACACGAAAACCGGTTTTGCGTAAAAAACGACAATATTATTATTTAATCGGCGCGCTATTCGTATTTTCGCCGTTTTTTTTCCCGCACGATATTAACGTTATACTCGGTTCTTGCGGGGGAAAAACCTTTCGAGTCGATTTCGTGTACACCACTGTCCTCGACACGAGCAACGTTTAAAATCGAACGAATGTAAGCCTTGTGCGTGTTTTTTCCCGGTCTATCGGGGTAAATCAAAAAAAAACTCCCTCCTCAATAGGACCTCCTCCAGAAAAAGTGCACCCACACACTGGTAAATCGGAGCAAGGGTTTTGGTAAAAAAATTGTTTAAAGATAAAATGAAATAAACATTGTAAAACCAATCCGTCCCTCTCAGAAGCCGAAATCTAGCTTTGTCTCGGAGTAAGAAGCGTAAGAAACGAGTCAGTTTCTTACGCTCCTATTCTTTTTCAGTGTCAACCAATAATATAATAAGTTCTCTGCCCTACTATTCATAGTTATACGCGTTAGTTATCAATGGTTTCACAAGCCGGTTAAACGAATCCGGCCTGTACTCAACAGACTACTATAGTTATTATTATTACCGTCTCTAGCGGGACTGACGATAAAAATTATAAAACATTGCGACCGATTGGCCCAATAAAATATTATACACACAGACGATCGAGGTAATCGTTTTTATTTTGTTATTAGATTTTATCACGGGACAGATTATGAAAAAAAATTAATAAAAAATAAAAGGTGTCAACACATACCGGCAACAACGTCCGCGTATTATTATTAATATTAATTTTCTATAAATTTAATTTAATTATTTTTCTATATATTCTGTATCCGATATCTATATGAAATAATTAACAAAATTCGGTACTGCCATATAGTAAAATTAATAAATTCCTCGATAGACTCGGAATCTGAAAAACACAAATACCAATAAAAATAAAAACAACGTTTGTTTTTAAAGTGTAATATATTNTATATAAACTAATTAATGTAGTTATTATGCGATTGAGGCGAAAGGGCGTTAACCGTTTACAATAACTGTATTTTACTAATCTAGGAACCTGGTTTTAAACATGCTGTCATTCCCTAAGAACTGACATGTTATTAACAACGTTGCCCATAATATAATGAGCCAAAAAGAATTAAAGTGAAAGTAAGCAGAAGCATGAAGTTGACTTCCAAATCGAATAGCCGGAACCGACTCGAGAAGAAGTTCGTAGTCTTAAGCTTTTAAAGATACGTGCTGCTGGCACGCCAGTGGCGGTGGGTTACATTAAACCCACCGCCATAAGCCTCCCACCCACCCGGTGCCAAAATAAATGCGGACGGTGTCGGTGGCACCTCCGACGCCTTCGAGGATCGAAGTGATACCGTCCGCATATTGGTAGAAGCCGTCAAAAGCCGACTACACAATTTAATGTGCAATATAAAATTTTAAAAAAATGAAAAAATAAATAATAATAAATATACAAAAAAAACAAAACTCAAAAACAGATAACCTAATCTAACGTTAAACGCACAAAAAAAAACCAAAAAAAAAACCACAATCTAACCGACAACTAGACATCGAAGACGGTCAGCGGCCGGCGGATGAATGGTGGTTTATCACCTTTGCGCGAGACCGTTGAAATGGTTAACTAGGTCCCGAACCGGACTGGATCTGATCATTACAAATCTCCAGTCGTTCGGCCCCGCAACCACGTCGGCGTCACTGGTATCGTCAGCCCGGGCTCCGGTCTCTAGATCGGACACGGGTTCGATCTCGGTTATGGTGCTGGTTATGTCGTTATCGTACATAAATTCCGCGTCCTCTTGGCCTGACGACGTGGCGTTGTGGGACGCGGTGTTTACTCCACTGTCCCATTCCGGGGCGTTCGAAATCTCTTCTTTTTCTTCTTTTCTGACGTATTCCACCGGTGTTTCTGCAACTTCGCGGCCACTGGAAAGACCCTGCAGAACGTGGCGAATAGCTTCTACCACCACCGGTTTCAAGAAATATGCGATTGAGAGCATAGCGAGCGAATGCAGATTCAAAGCAGTTTAGCAATATGCGATTATATGTCAAGAGTTTATTAACGATGTAGTTAATAAAGTCAAACGATATAACAATGAACCGTGTTCAATAATACACTCGTCCGGGCGTACCGTGGAAACGGCGGCCTTTGGATACGCGGTTTGTTTATAATCGGCCAACACGAATCCCGGTCTCGCGTGAAAAAAAGACGATAATTAATACGCGTCAATTATCAATGGTTTCACAAGCCGGCTAATCGCATCCGGCCTGTACTTAACAGACTATTAATTTATATTTAATATTAATTTATAATTTATAATTATTATTATTACCGTCTCTAGCGAGACTGACGATAAAAATAATGAAACACTGCGACCGCTCGGCCCGAAAAAGTGTTATACACACCGACGATCGCGTTAATCGTTTTTATTTTGTTATTAGATTTTATCACGGGACAGATTATGAAAAATACTTATTCGGCGATAAATTCGGTCCGGTGGTAAAAAAAAAAGGTGTCAACGCATACCGGCAGTAATGTCTGCGTATTCTTATTAATATTAATTTTCTATTAATTTAATTTTATTATTTTTCTATATATTCTGTATCCGATATCTATATTTTTTTTTTTTTTTTTTAAATGCCCTGGGGCTTTATTATTTCAACGACCTGATGGTCTTTATAAATATTTTTAACAGGATATATCTTACATACTAGATGGTAATATATATTCATTACACATTGATGATGTCACACTTCTAATGAAGTGGCTTCTGTACTTAATTTAAAGACTTAAACTAAGTCGTATGGTTTCAGACGTTTAAGGCGTTTAATGTCTTTGGAGTTGTCTAACAGTTCGATGGACATTGGGTTGATATGGTCCTCTAATCTCCTCTCGTGTTTACGAGCAAACTTTTGGATTTCTTCTGCTATTGTATGCAGCATCATATCGCGGTGAATGGCATCGTTTCTTTCAAACCGGTAGGCTGCAGTGATAGTCCGAAGAGCGATGTTTTGGCAACGTTGTATTGTATCAATGTTAGACTTACTAGCACAACCCCACAGTTGAATGCCATGGGTCCAAATTGGTTTTATAATAGCTACATATAGTAGACGTTTGTTTTCTATAGTTAACTCAGAATGGGGTCCAACTAACCAATAGAGCTCTCGCATTTTTTCTTTAATATGCATTTTTTTCTGACGGACATGATGTTTCCAGTTTAAACAAGAGTCAAGATGCATTCCAAGATATTTTGCTTAATCTTTTTGTGGGATTAAAGTTTGATTCAGTAAAATTGGTATGTTTTC